CGGTCCCGTCCCTTGTCGCCCCCCTCCCTCCCCCCACCCAAGGGCACTATGAACGAAGAGCAGTTTGTGAGCATCGACTTGGACGACGACAACGTGTGCAGCGTCTGCAAGCTGGGGACCGAGAAGGAGACGCTGTCGTTTTGCCACGTTTGTTTTGAGCTGAACATCGAAGGTAAGGTTTTGATAGGAGTCATCTTGTGCGAACTTCCTCCGTAGGCTGCTTGGCTTGGAGCTGAACGCAGGCTGAGCTTGTCTGAAAGCTTTCATAAAGGCTGAGGTTCGAAAGCCTATGTGTTTAGAAAGTTTTCTTGCTGGCCAAACTAGTTTGTTAGGTTCTGAAATAGCTGATTTCCAGTAAAGGTGAGTGCTGTACCTCCTTCTCCTCTAGATTTAGAGATGTACCCGCCTTTCAAGAGATTCTAAAATGCCCTGGTGTTAATTTTGTCTTCTGGTATTAGACCTCTGATGTTAATTCAGATCAGAAGTATATTACATTCTGCCTTTTTTCACGTTTTTTGCTCAATAGTTAAAGTTGTCTATGTATAAAACTTAGTTAAGTTGCAAATTTTAGAGTAGAATAGGGTTTTTTTGGCAGATCAATGTTTCACTTTCATGAGAAGTAATCAGAAAACTTTCATTTTGCTTTCATAAAATGATAATATATGTAATGTGAAAAAACTGGGTCCATTGTCAAGGCTTCTTAAAGTTTGCAAATTGTAAAGTAGGACTCCTGTCCATCTTCTAAAAGACTCATCTTATAGTACTGTTTTGTCCTCCAGAATGGTATTTTTAGAATTTGGGACGTCGTTTTGCTAAAGAATTTACTCATCTTGTTGCTGCTCTTCACATATTAATAAAGTGTTGGTCATGAATGAGCAGTCGATTAGTTATTTCCCTTTTTTAAATCAGATAAGGATTTTTTGAAAGTATGAATATTGTTGCTTTGTTTTGGGGCAACAAAGTAATATATTCCAGTTACATGAAGAGGTATTTGTCAATTGTATGTGCGTGTGACTAGCTGAAGTAATCTATGTTAGTATGGGGCAATTGAATATTAAAATCTTAATGCTGTTAGGTGAATAGTCCCATTTCTTCATGATAGTAAGATTTGCTGCGTCTCTGATATATACGAGATAAAAAGGTCTTAAGATCAAGTCTTTCAGAGGGCAAAATGCTACGAGATACGAGCACTGTGCCCAGTGATCTAGTTGCTTATTCTGAACCCTAGCAGTATAAAACTGACTGGAATGTAGGGGGCTGTAAGGGTACGTATTCCATACAGTTTCTGTTGTGCATATGACTTTCAATGCATGTATAGGTAATAAAATTTCGTTCCTACCTTACGAAAATCTGAAAAATGCATTAGCACATTGAAATAGCTTTCAAATGCTGACTCAGTACTGTGTTTTGATTTTTAAAAGAAAAGTGATGCCTTTAAGGTGTTTGTTGCTACTAGAGGCTATGTATTTTAATCTGAACAATACTTTTATACTTCAGTGGTAGTTTGCATGCTTTAGGCTTTTACTTAGAAGAGACCTGCTTATGTATTTGCACATTGTGATAAAAGAGCAGCTAAGACGACCCGTCAGTCTGCCTCAGTTTTCTTACTGCTTTAAAATGATAGGTGGTTTACAGTTCTCAATGTGAGTGGAGTTAAGATGTTTCTCTCTCTAGGCTTTAAAATAAGGGAAAAAAGTATGTCATAATGAGAATTGAGTACTTCAATTACATTCAGAATTTAGTTTTGTTTTGGAAGTGTTGAAACAATGCATAAAAAAATGGCTGGATGGTTTCTGTGCTCTGTTGTTCGAGATAAGCTGTGGATTTGTTAAAGTTACTTGTTATGGATATAACTTTACAAAATGATCATGTGTTTTAGCTGGAACAGCTCTTTTCCAATGTCGTGTCCCCCGTCCCCGTCCCCCCCC